TCTGTGTTGTCCATGCTCTTTCTTTTTTTGATTTTTTTTCCCTTTGTTCGTTTATAATGGATCTTGCAAAGAGAAATATCAAATGCAGCACAAGCAATTTTTAAGGGCACTGCAGAGAGTACAAATGTGAAAGCAAATGTGTGATGTGTAAAGGGGCTGTATCCTCAGTCTATGACTTTCTCTTGGAGCATGTCCCCGATCTCCCAACAACTCCTATAGCCCAAAATCCAACAACTCTAGAATATGGAATGTCCACAGTCTCTGACCATCCCCTCTAGAATGCCCGAAGTATCTCATCATCTTCTTCAGCATGCCTGTAGACTCTATCCAACTACTGTAGCATGCCCGTGGTCTCTGACCATCCCCAGTAGCATGCCAGTCATGTCCAGCCATCTCCTGTAGCATGCCCGTAGACATGAACCATCTCCAGTAGCATTCCATAGTCTCTGACCATCTTCAGCATGCCTGTGGTCTCTAAATATCTCCTGTAGAATGCCAGTGGTCTCAGACTATCTCCTGTAGCATGCCAGTTGTCTTTGGCCATCTCCTGCAGCATGACCGTAGGCCCTGGCCATCTCCTGTAGCATGCCTGTAAACCTTGACCATCTCCAGTAGCATTCCATAGTCTCTGACCATCTTCAGCATGCCTGTGGTCTCTAAATGTCTCCTGTAGAATGCCAGTGGTCTCTGACTATCTCCTGTAGCATGCCAGTTGTCTTTGGCTATCTCCTGCAGCATGACCATAGGCCCTGGCCATCTCCTGTAGCATGCCCGTAAACATTGACCATTTCCAGTAGCATTCCATAGTCTCTGACCATCTTCAGTAGCATGCCTGTGGTCTCTAAATGTCTCCTGTAGAATGCCAGTGGTCTCTGACTATCACCTGTAGCATGCCAGTTGTCTTTGGCCATCTCCTGCAGCATGACCATAGGCCTGGCCATCTCCTGTAGCATGCCCGTAAACTTTGACCATCTCCAGTAGCATTCCATAGTCTCTGACTATCTTCTGTAGCATGCCTGTGGACTATAACTGTCTCCTGTAGAATGCCAGTGGTCTCTGGTGTTTCCAGCAGCATGCCTGTAGTCTCTGACCATCTCCAGCAGCATGTACATAGTCTAAGACTATCTCCTGTTGCATCCTTATAGTCTCTAACCATCTCCTGTAGCATGTCTAATGAATTTGACAGCTTTCTATGGCACTACATTTACCAAATATTATGTGAAGCCATATTGTAATGTTGAGGACCTCACATGAGGCCTCCTTAAAGTTGACCACAACTGCCCTAACCTATGCAAACCTTAGATCTACTTGAAGCCCATTAAAGGCCAAAGACTAAATGGCATAAAAACTGAGCTCCTATAAAATGTCTGATGACTTTGACAGCTTTCTATAGCATTACATTTACCAGATAATATGTATAGTACAACCCTTTGATGATGTTGAGGACCTTACATGAGGCCTCCTTAAAGTTGGCTACAACTTTCCTAATCTATCCAAAGCCTAGATCTACCTAAACGTCAGAGACCAAATGGCATATAACTAGAGTTTCTGTAGCATATCTGATGACTTTTATAGCTTTTTATAGCATTACATTTACCAAATATTATGGGCAACCATCTAGTAATGTTGAGGACCTCACTTGAGGCCTCCTTAAACTTCACTACAACTGCCCTAATCTATGCAAACCTTAGATCTACTTGAAGCCCATTAAAGGCCAAAGACTAAATGGCATAAAAACTGAGCTCCTATAGAATGTCTGATGACTTTGACTTCTTCCTATAGCATTACATTTACCAGATAATATGTATAGTACAGCCCTTTGATGATGTTGAGGACCTCACATGAGGCCTCCTTAAAGTTGGCCACAACTTTCCTAATCTATCCAAAGCCTAGATCTACCTAAACGTCATGAAAGGCCAGAGACTGGCATATAACTAGAGTTTCTGTAGCATATCTGATAACTTTTATAGCTTTTTATAGCATTACATTTACCAAATATTATGGGCAGGGGGCGGACTGACCATTTGGAAACTGCCCGAGGGCCCAGGGTCAGTAGAGGGCCCCATGAGATGCCCCTGGTACCTTTTTCATAGGCTTTTTTGAGTTTGGGCAAGGACACAGGGGCCCCATGATCCCCTATTGACCGGGGGGATCATGTCTGATGACTTTTATAGCTTTTTATAGCATTACATTTACCAAATATTATGGGCAACCATCTAGTAATGTTGAGGACCTCACTTGATGCCTCCTTAAACTTGACCACAACTGCCCTAATCTATCCAAAGCTTAGATCTACTTGAAACTCTTAAAAGGCCAAAGACCAAATGGCATATAACTCGAGCTGATGATCCAAATACAAAAAAGAACCCCCCCCCCCCCCCCACACAAAAAAAAAAAAGAAGAATAAAACAACTTCCGAGTAAGAACAAGTCTAGGTTTTGCCAGAAGAGCTCTAAGCTGTCCCATACAAAAAGGTGTTTGTCGTTCCCTTCTCACGTTTATCATATTAATCCCATTCAAGACCGAGTAAAGACCGATTGACAATGAGACAACTTTTTTTTTTTTAAAAAGGAGGGAAAAGCTTGTTTTTTAGTCTTTTTTTATATTTTCTCTCTTTTTTTTAGGCCGTTCTTTTTAATTTATGTCCCTTTTGCTCACTATCAACTCAACTTGACAAGCTTGCTTAATTGGATAAATTCGGCTCTCACACTCCTCCTGAGATGGCCATGAAAGTGGAGGCATTAGGGTGGGAGAATTAAGGGGGGAAAACTAGTTTTAATGGCGGGGTGGTGGTTGGTTTGGGGAGGGGGGGGGTTACGTTTTTCTACATGAATTCCATCTGCTTTTTTTTCCCTTACGGCCATTGAGGAGGGCTGTTGAATATTCATGAAGGCCCTCTCTCTTCTCTTGGACCCCGGTTCCCCCCCTTCCTCGTGTCCCTCTCATAGCACCGGACAATGCCCCATCTAAAGGCCCCCCCTCTACGCATTAGACAAACACAGGCAGTGTCAAGTGTGAGGAGGGGCTTCAACTGCCAGTCATGCTCCAAGCCTACAATGGGGCCTAGAGGCCTTCAATAACACACTGCATGCTTTCCATATGGGGGCTGAGTAACCCATGGAAACCCTAACAGGCAGAACGAGGCTTAATAGAGTCTCTATTCATTGTAATGCAGCGAGCTGGCTCAAGAGACTATTGCCCCTCAGGTCGTTTTTCTTTATACCTATCACCCCCCCCCCCCCCCTCCTCCCCTCCACTTCTATTTTTTCTCCCCCTCTCTCTTTCGTTTTATTGAATTGGAACAAAAGGCCGAGGTTGCTTAAGGGTCCCAATCTGGAGAGGATCGAGGCTCAAGAGAAAAGATGATGCTTGGGTTTTTTTTAGGTAGAAGAAGGGAGGGTTGGAAAAATAAGGGGGTCAATTTTTTTTTTTTTTTTATATACCCCTTAAAAAAAAAAAGTTAAAAAGCATACAGAGGTGCCAGCTGCCTTGACAAAATCTGGAATGGCCGGGGGAACCGCGGGGTTTTTTCACGCTACAAAAGGGGCTGGCGTGGAAAAAGGTTTATGTGTAATAGAAAAAACAGCTGCTTGAAATGAGGAGGCTCTCTGACCACCCTCCACGAAGCCGTGGTGCTCCAAGCACTCAACAAGCCAAAAAAAAAAAAAAAAAAAAAAAAAAAAGCTCTTGCCAGCCGAGGAGCAATGGCGACCTCCACCACCCTCCACCCCCCCCTTCCAGAGAAAAGACTCCAAGGAAGCTTTAATAGAGTGTCTCTGAGTACTTCATCTATTACAAGTGTCATGGAATCCACATTTCTGCTCCTCCTACGTGTTTTGCCTGATTTGCCCTCAGCTGAGGAGTGGAAGGTGCCCATGGACGAGCCAAGTTGGCTGCACCACGCCGATCCTTCCAACGATCCTCCCATACACAACCTCAAGCATGCCGGCCAAGTTCAAGAGACGGAGATACAAGAATACATCGAAGAAAAACAAAAAAAGGTGTTATAATGACAGCGTTGGATACCCTGGGCACAGCTATAGAACAAAATTCAGTAATAATGAAACAAATCAAAGAAATAATTTCCGGAAGAGAAATGTAAACCGTGAAAGTCGTAGTGTTTCCTCACATTGGTGGTCAGAAAAGTGCCCCTCATAATGGCTGTCCATGAAATGCCCAATTAAATTGTGGGTCAGTGGAGAAGGGCCCCCTTAGATTGGTGGCCATTGGGAAATAAACTCCATTACAATGGTCAGTGATAGAATGGGCCCCTATACATTGGTAGTCTAAAGGAAGAATGTCCCTTACATTGGGGTCAGTGGGAAGAATGTTCCTTACATTGGTGTCAGTGGGAAGAATGTCCCTTACATTGGTGGTCAGTGGGAAGAATGTCCCTTACATTGGTGTCAGTGGGAAGAATGTCCCTTACATTGGTGTCAGTGGGAAGAATGTCCCTTACATTGGTGTCAGTGGGAAGAATGTCCCTTACATTGGTGTCAGTGGAAAGAATGTCCCTTACATTGGTGGTCAGTGGGAAGAATGCTCCTTACATTGGGGGTCAGTGGGAAGAATGCTCCTCACATTGGGGGTCAGTGGGAACAATGTCCCTTACATTGGTGGTCAGTGGGAAGAATGCTCCTTACATTGGTGTCAGTGAGAAGAATGCTCCTTACATTGGTGGTCAGTGGGTAGAACGCCCCTTACATTGGTGTCAGTGGGAAGAATGCCCCTTACATTGGGGGTCAGTGGGAAGAATGCTCCTTACATTGGTGGTTAGTGGGAAGAATGTCCCTTACATTGGTGTCAGTGGGAAGAATGTCCCTTACATTGGTGGTCAGTGGGAAGAATGCCCCTTACATTGGTGTCAGTGGGAAGAATGTCTCTTACATTGGTGGTCAGTGGAAGAATGTCTCTTACATTGGTGGTCAGTGGGAAGAATGTCCTCTTACATTGGGGGTCAGTGAGAAGAATGTCCCTTACATTGGTGATCAGTGGGAAGAATGTCCCTTACATTGGGGGTCAGTGAGAAGAATGTCCCTTACATTGGTGTCAGTGGGAAGAATGTCCCTTACATTGGGGGTCAGTGGGAAGAATGTCCCTTACATTTGGGGGTCAGTGGGAAGAATGTTCCTTACATTGGGGTCAGTGGGAAGAATGTCCCTTACATTGGTGGTCAGTGGGAAGAATGTCCCTTACATTGGTGTCAGTGGGAAGAATGTCCCTTACATTGGTGGTCAGTGGGAAGAATGTTCCTTACATTGGGGGTCAGTGGGAAGAATGTCCCTTACATTGGTGTCAGTGGGAAGAATGCCCCTTACATTGGTGATCAGTGGGAAGAATGTCCCTTACAATTGGCCCCTTACATTGGGGGTCAGTGGGAAGAATGTCCCTTACATTGGGGGTCAGTGGGAAGAATGTCCCTTACATTGAGGGTCAGTGGGAAGAATGTCCCTTACATTGGTGTCAGTGGGAAGAATGCTCCTTACATTGATGGTCAGTGGGAAGAATGCTCCTTACATTGGTGTCAGTGGGAAGAATGTCCCTTACATTGGTGTCAGTGGGAAGAATGTCCCTTACATTGGTGTCAGTGGGAAGAATGTCCCTTACATTGGTGTCAGTGGGAAGAATGGCCTTACATTGGTGGTCAGTGGGAAGAATGTCCCTTACATTGGTGGTCAGTGGGAAGAATGTCCCTTACATTGGTGTCAGTGGGAAGAATGTCCCTTACATTGGTGTCAGTGGGAAGAATGGCCCTTACATTGGTGTCAGTGGGAAGAATGTCCCTTACATTGGTGATCAGTGGGAAGAATGGCCCTTACATTGGTGGTCAGTGGGAAGAATGTCCCTTACATTGGTGTCAGTGGGAAGAATGGCCCTTACATTGGGTGGTCAGTGGGAAGAATGGCCCTTACATTGGTGGTCAGTGGGAAGAATGTCCCTTACATTGGTGTCAGTGGGAAGAATGTCCCTTACATTGGTGTCAGTGGGAAGAATGGCCCTTACATTGGGTGTCAGTGGGAAGAATGTCCCTTACATTGGTGATCAGTGGGAAGAATGCTCCTTACATTGGAGGTCAGTGGGAAGAATGCTCCTTACATTGGTGTCAGTGGGAAGAATGGCCCTTACATTGGGGGGGTCAGTGGGAAGAATGTCCCTTTTTTGCTCGAGGAACAACTAGCAACCTCTGGAGGAACCCTGAGGTCCCACTGAACCCTGGTTGAACAAGATGTCCTCAATGTTTCTGAATCCGTCTGACTACACTGGTGGCATTTTGAAGCGCACTTCCAGACAGCACAGTAAAATGTTATCTAGCAGCTGCCCTGCAGCCAGAGTCCACAGACCTCCTCACAAGTGCATTGGGTGGTCTTCTCTCTACCTCATCAACCACATTAAAAGTCCAAATCTCATTGGCGGATGTGAAGGACTTAGAACTGCTCTCCTGTTACATCAGGTTCTGTGTAGGTGACACACGATGAGGAAGGGTCTTAAATGGGCGTGTTTGGGAATCCTCTCCTGCATTACAAGCAGTTAAGCAAAGGTGTTCCCAGAGCACCAGAATACTCACAGAGTGGGGTGGGCTGGGTCACTTTAATAAAAAAACTTCTGAAAAAACTTTTTACATACAGTCAGGCAGTCCTTCAGTCTGCTGCAGGCAGGAGGGAGCATTTCCTCGGTCTCCTCTCCCATGACTGATCGGACTTGCTCCACCTTTTACATTGTAAAAGCTTTGTAGCAAGCTCCAAGGGAGGTTTCCTTAGAGAGACTGCTGCTTTGTAGCCCAAGGGCTGCTGATCTGTGCCTGATGTGGTTTTACCTTTTCTCATTTAAAAGCCAACCATGAAATATTGCCATCCATCTGCTGCGGGCAGGAGGAAGCACTTCCTCAGTCTCCTCTCCTTCAATGGTCAGACTGCAACACATTAACTTTGAAGGCAAGTCCACAGGAGACAGGCCGCAGCAGGGGCTGATCTGTGTCTGACGTGGCATCACCTTTTATCATTTTAAAGCCATCCATGAGATGTTGCCATCCCTCTGCTGCAGGCAGGAGGAAACATTTCCTCAGTCTCCTCTCCCCCAATGATTAGGCTGCAGCACTGAAACTTTGTAAGCAAGCCCAGGGAGAGGAGCTGCAGCAGGGGCTGATCTGTGTCTGACGTGGCATCACCTTTTATCATTTTAAAGCCATCCATGAGATGTTACCATCTATCTGCTGCAGCAGAAGGAGGCATTTCCTTAGTCTCCTCTCCCCCAATGATTAGGCTGCAGCACTGTAACTTTGGAAGCAAGCCCAGAGGAGAGAGGCTGCAGCAGGGGGCTGATCTGCGTCAGACATTTGTGAACACAGCCAAGAACTTCACACTAACCAGGATGAGTATGACTGTCATATCTGAGCCATAACTAGCAAATCCCTTTAATAAAAAAAAATAAATTGCAGCATAAAAAACTCAGGTTTATCCAAAATGTAATGGAAGTCAGAAGGTAACATTGTAAAAGGCGAAGACTTTCTGATGAAGTGAATCAGCTGAAGTCGCAGACAGGAGTGTGGGTAAAGCTTCATGACATCGGGGGGGGGGGAATCAGAGCCACTCGGCACCTGCAGACAGGAGTGCTGGGTAAAGCTTCATGACAACGGAGGGGGGGGGGGGGTAAATCGGAGCCACTTGGCACCTGCAGACAGGAGTGCGGGAAAAGCTTCACACCTAGAGGGGAGCGGAGTGTAAACAGAGCGCTGAGGAGGACACAGGAGAGGACGGCCGCCGTGTGGATTTAGCTAATCTCCCCTCTATGGGGGAAGAATGACTCTTTATACCGATAAATTGTTGACTTTCTTCCTTTTGTGTGGCTAAGTCAACAGATTACAGAGCGGGATGCCAGGCAGAGCCGACAACGGCAAACACCGGCAGCACACGGACCGTCTTCTCCCAATCTGGCCCATGGGGTCTAGTCGTCAACGGACGTTGGGCCATAGACCACCCAATCATTACACAGACTTGGCTACATTTTTTGGATTCTCTGAACATTCTTGAATCTCGAGGGAAGCAAGAACAACGACATCGACGAGGGCATTTTACCGATCGGAGGACCCCAGCATGTTACCATCATAGACCCCCAATAGGAGTGCCCAGTAGGTCCTTGTACCACCGTCCACCTGGCCATCCAAACCATCATCATCACCACCAGGCCTAGGACTATTATCCTGGATGTAGTCCGGGATCAGGGTCGGACTGACAACTCATGGGGCCCCCAGGCAATAGGAAATTATGGGGCCCCTTTGTCCTTGCCCACACTCAAACCACACCCAAAAAAGTCTATGAAAGGTACCAGGGGCATCTCATGGGGCCCCTTACTGACCCCGGGCCCCTCGGGCAGTGCCCAAATGGTCAGTCTGCCCCTATCCGGGACAGTAAAGTTAAAATACAATTCAACACAAGAGAGTTGGGAGGACCCTGATCGTAGGAGCTTACAATCTAAAGGGGAGGGGCAAAGTGATACAAAAGGTAATAACTTTGTGGGGGTGAGCTGATGGAGAACGTAGAAGTGTTCAGTTCTTGTGTGGAGGTGGGATAGGCTTCCTTGAAAACACGAGATTGCCTAAAAGAACAGAATAGGAGATATCCAGACAGATTGAGGTAGAAAGTTTCAGAGGATGGGAGAGGCTCTAGATAAGTTCTAATGGTGGGCAGAGTAGGAGATAGCTTTACAGATTGGGGGTAGTAAGTTCCAGAGTATGAGAGAGGCTCTGGATAAGTTCAGGAGGTGGGAAGAGTAGGAAATAACGAATCAGACTGGGGTAGAGAGTGGCTGCACAGATTGGGGCTGGACCTTTAAAAAAAGGGGAAGGGGGGTAGAGAGTGGCTGAAAAGATTGGAGTAAGACTTCTAGGGGATAAGAGAGGCTCTGGAAATGTCCTGGAGGTGGACAGAATAGGATATAGCCAGAAGAGATTGGGGTATGGAGTTGTAGAAGCTGGGAGAGGCTCTGGAGAAGTCCTGGAGGTGGACAGAGTAGGAGATAGCCAATCAGATTGGGCTAGAGAGTTCCAGAGGATGGGAGAAGCTCCGGAGATGTCCTGGAGGGTGGAAAGAGTAGGAGGAGATTGTTGGACAAGATTGGGTTAGAGGGTGGCTGGACAGATTGAGATAAGGAGTTCTAGAGGATGGGAGAGGCTTTGGAGAGAACATCCTGGAGGTGGACAGACTAGGGGATAGCCAATCAAATTGGACTAGAGAGTTCCAGGGATGGGAGAAGCTCAGGAGATGTCTTGGAGGTGGACAGTGTAGGAGATTGTTGGACAGAATGTTGTAGAGCAGTGGTTTCTCAACCTTCCTAATGCCTCGACCCCTTAATACAGTTCCTCATGTTGTGGTGACCCCCAACCATAAAATTATTTACTCTTTACACATTGGAAATGTGTTGTTCGATGGTCTTAGGTGACCCCTGTGAAAGGGTCGTTAGACCCCCCCCCAAAGGGGTCGCGACCCACAGGTTGAGAAGACCACTGTTGTAGAGGGGTGGCTGGACAGATTGGGGTAAGGAGTTCTAGAGGATGGGAGAGGCTTTGGTGAAGTCCTGGAGGTGGACACAGGCTACTGGACAGATTGGGTATATGAGTTATACAGGATGAGAGAGGGCTCTGGGAGATTGGGCTAGGGGATAGCCCAATTGAGTGTTCTAGAGCATGGGAGAAGAGAAGCTCCAGAGATGTCCTGGAGGTGGGACAGAGAAGGAGATAGTTGGACAGATTGTTGTAGAGTGGCTGGACAGATAGGGGTTTGGGGTTCTAGAGGATGAAAGAGGCTTTGTAGAAGTCCTGGAGGTGGACAGAGTAGGAGATAGCTAACAGATTGGGGCTATGTAGTTTTAGAGGATGGGAGAAGCTCTGAAGAAGTTCTGGAGGTGGACAGAGTGGGCTATAGCTAGACAGATTGAGGTAGGGAGTTCTGAAAGCTAGGAGAGGCTCTGGAGAAGTCCTGGAGGTGGGTGGAGTAGGAGATAGAGGATTGGGTTATGGCGTCATACAATATGGGAAAGGCTCTGGAGAAGCCCTGGAAGAGGACAGAATGGGAGATGGCCAGTCAGATTGGAGTATGGAGTTCTAGAGATGGAAAAGACTCTGGAGCAGTCCTGGAGGTGGGCAAGAGTAGAAGATAGCTGGTCATATTGGTGTTGAGAGTTCCAGAGGATGGGAGAGGCTCTGGCGATGTCGTTGAGGTGGACAGAGTGGGAGATATCTGGACACAATGAGGTAGGAAGTTCCAAAGGAAGGGAGAGGATCTGGAGAAGTTCTGGACATGGGACACAATTGGGTAGGTAGTTCCAGAGGATGGGAACGGCTCTAGAGAAGTCTTGAAGTTGGGCAAAGTAGGTGATAGTCGGAGAGGGCTGGGGGTAGAGAGTTTCAGAGAGAGGCTCTGGAGAAGTCAAGGTCAGGATAGGCCTTGGTATATTTTAGGACAGACGCAGGTGTCAACACTCAAATATGGAGGATTTTCCTATCATCTCGGCTCATCCCCTCAGGATGTGGAATTTCCTCCGGCGACGGACCCCGCCTTGCTATAAAATGTGCCGAGCCGCTCATGGGGGCCCCGGGAAGGGCCGGCGCTCTGGAGACGCGTTCGCACCCCGCTCTAAAAATAAGCCCCTTAAATCCCTCATAAAAACCCGTCAGACAATCGCAGCGTGGGTGGAAGATGATGTTAGTCAGCAGAGTGTTGACTCCTCTCCCACGGCGACATTTCACAGACAATGGAACCTTTAAATAAAGAAAAAAACTTCCGGTGTTTTCGTCTTCCTTTCATCGTCCCGAGGAGAGAGCACAGATCAGGAGAGGCTGCTGGAGGACTACAATACCCAGCAAGCCCAGCTGATTCCTAAATCCTACTCTATACACAGCAGCATGTGCCACATTTTGTAAGATAGGAGATATCTGGGGTAGAGAGTTACAGAAGATGAGAGAGGGAGGCTCTGGAGAAGTCTTGCACATGGACAGAGTAGGAAATAGCTGGACAGATTGCGGTAGGGAGTTCCACGGGATAGGGGGCGGCTCTGAAGAAGTCCTGGCGGTGGACAGTGTAGGAGATAGCTGGACAGACTGTG